GCTCTCTTTTGGGGAGGGGGGCTCAGCCTGGCCCTGCGCTGAGGCAGGAACCCGCCATTCCGACCATCGGCCCTTCTGGCATTTGCCAGAAATGCCAGATGGCCAGTCCGGCCCTGGCCCGTAGACAGATGGTTGCACCTCACTTCCAACATTAATTTGACTCATTCCAGCCCCATGATTCTATTTGAACATTCATGTTAACTTAATCTTCTATGGGATTAATGTAGGTGGCCCCACAAAATTATTTATTTCTTGTAGGTTACGAATAGTTTCTTTAAACAACAACAACTAAATAATGAACAGCAATTCCATTTGGACATGCACACCATCTCATAGCAGTTAACAGACGCCGTTACAAGATAAACCATTTTCCAAACTGGGGGCACTTTGGCAGTGAAGTTTCTGTAAGAGCTGATTTATGATCAAGGAAATTTTATCTCATTCTGTCACATGTTTCAGTTGTCCCTTGTCTCAAACCATAGATTGCCTCTGGCCCCAGTCAGTCAGGTTTTGTTTCTCTCTTTGTTATCATGACTTTATGTCACAGATAAAATATACCATCGGGAAAAGAATACTGTAGAAATGATGAATTATAGGAAACACAACAAATCCAAATCCAGCAATGCTACTTCCTCTCCCTTCCAAACACACACACACACACACACACACACACACGTCCTTCAACATTCATTTATTTTTTTCATGTTCCCTTTTTATTATTATTGCTTCTCTGTCCTACTTTTGTGCCTTGGTAGGATGTGAGATATATGCCATCTGTCTATATTTTTGTACATCCTCCTTATTTGGCCAATGCAATTTGGGTTCTACTGGAAAGTACAATAGCTGCCAATTTCATTATTTCTGTCACTTCCAAATGCCTCCATTTCCCAATCTGTAACTTGCTGCATTGGCATGAAAAACGGGTCTTTTTAACAGTGCTTTGGCTGATGCACTGATTCTGCCGTGCGTAGAACTACATTTTTTTTACTTTTTTCTAGCACAAAGATCTGAATTAAGCATAGAACCTTCATTGTTTCAATCATTTTTTAAAAAAAATATTAAGAAATGAGTGTGCCATAAAATTTATTTGTCCTGATATGTAGCCTCTACTGAGGGGCTTTGGTAAGGGTAGAATATGGAGAAAACAGAATGGCTTCCCATAGGCAAAAGTATCAGAAAAACATGTATTTTATCTCTCTGTCCCTTCAATCTTTATTGAAAACAAATTAAATGAAAAGCTGGATTGGATTTAGTTGAAGGAGTGATGATTGGATGACATCACAATAGTTGTGAAAAATAGCAATGATTTGAAAAAACGACTAGAAGTTAGAGAAAAAAGTGCAAAATCAGAGTTACAGTAGAACACAAAGAAGATAAATAATACTGGCTATAGAAGAATTCCATAACTTTAATACTGGCAATGAAGAAATTGCATTTGTTAAGGCTTTTCTGTACATTAGTTCAATTATCAGTCCAAATGGGGAATTGCATCCAAGAAATCAGAAGAAGACTTGGAAAGCAGTTATGGAGGAACAAAGAAGATATCTGCATGAGGATGAATTGCTGGAGACTGAGATCATCCATATTATAGTATTCCTAATTATCATGTACAGTTGGACACCAAAAGATACCGACAGGAAAAAAAAACTTTATTAATTAAAAATGCCATGTTGGAGGAACATTTTACAGACAGCACAGACTGCCAGAAGGAACGCTCTGCACGGCGCCACCACTGCCACCACGATAGTGCTTTGCCTGTCTGCTCAGGACAGAGTGAGCGCAGGAGAGTGATGCAGAAGCTGAGGGGGAGGGCTTTGATTAGGTTGCCTGCCTCCCTAGCTTGGCCTCTTTTCCAGCATGGGTGTCGTGGCCCACCCAACCACCCTTTAAGAAGTAAGAGTGAGATTAGCTGGTTGCTTCGGGGCTGGATGGGAATTTTTGACTTGTTTCTGTAATTGGCTGTGAATGGGAGCAGATGTGTTTTCACCCATCCCATTCTTACTTTATGCAATAACTAGGTAATGTCAAGTGTGCAGATTAATTAGTCGCAACTGCGGGTAGTGTGAAAAGTAAGAGCTTGGTGAGCTCCAGTTGGTCACCCCATCTCCCTGATTGGTGGAATCAGGATATGAAGGGGGAAGGGAGTTTTTTTAAATTATTTTTTATTTTTAAAAACTAGGGATAAGGTAAGTAGTACAAAAGGTAGAGGGGGATATGGGGAGGAAGAGGGGGAAGGAGAATACAAAATGTACTGTCATCCAATCTGTTCATGTTGCGATATCAAGTCGACTTTTCGCCTTTATATAATTTGATTTCCCTCCATGTTTCAACTTACAGATGCATCTTAGTTTAATTCTATGTTATTCAAGCACTAGGTAGTTCTTTGTCTTATCTATATTATCTAGTATATTGCTCAGTAAAAACAATTCTGGGGTTAGTGGAACATTACAAAGCAGTATTTTTTGTAACAAAATACAGTATGTACTGCTATCCAATACTGTTTCGCTACTCTATAAGTCCACCACATATGGTAAAAGCTTCCCTCTTCTGCTTCACACTTCTAACACACATTTGACACCTCTGTATAAATCGTTGACAATTTTTCCAGAGCTATGTGACGCCTGTAAAACAACTTATATATGTTCTTGAAATTTACCGATTTTGTGAGCTTTATGTTATTTTTCCATATTTGCAGCCATTGATCAATATCAATATTGTGTCCTATATTTTGTGCGCACCTAGTCATATATTCTTTTACCATCTCATCTTGCATTTTAGTTTCAAGCAAATGATCATACATTTTCTTAATTACTTTATCATTTGAGCCCAGCAGAAGTTTATCGAATATAGTTTGTTTTGTGTAAAAGCCCTCTATTTTATCTTTTCTATATCTAGATTCCACTTGTGATCTGGACCACCAGTCTAGATATATGTTTTGTGTTTCTAGCTCTTCTTTGGACCTTAAATGACAATCATTTTTATTAGATCTTGATATCTTAAAAGTTTCACTTCTATCATGAGGTTAGGTTGTGTAAAGGTGATACCCAGCCTAGTGGTTTTTTTTTTTTTTGGTAAGTCTGCTGGATGATTTTTTTCCCAAGTCCCTAGTACGGCTCTTCTTGTCATATGCAAGTTGAAACTTTTCTGCTCTTTTTTTCTGTACCATAGAAAAGCATACCAACCTAACTGTAAATCATGTCCTTCCAACTTGAGTAGTCTATCATTATCTAAAGTTATCCAAAGCGTCCCCACCTCCAGGGATATTATACAGTTCCAAAGTTTTGATGTCACTCTGTCTATACTGTTGAGAAATCTGCCAGTGCATCCAGGGATATTATACAGTTCCAAAGTTTTGATGTCACTCTGTCTATACTGTTGAGAAATCTGACACTGCGATGTTTTTCATTCTGTTTTCCTGACTGATAACAGCCTTAAGCCCAGTCCGTAGTTGTATTATGTCACTCTGGGATTATTTCCAGAATCGTTTTTTTCTCTCTCTCAGTGTTCACCCTCGATCAGCCTGCAGGCTAAAAGTTAGTTTCGCTTTCTGAGGCAGCAGGACCAGTAAGCAAGCTAGATGCTTCTTCCATTCGGTCGGCCAAATATTCTGCACCCTAGTTTCTCTTTCTGATTTATGGGGCTGTTCATAAATCAAAGGCTTCAGCTTACTTTATTGTTGTCAGTTTTCAACACAGGGAAATGAGGGATGAAATACCAGGTTGCTGCCTGGCTTTCTTCTCCTCTGTTGCTCACCAACTGCTTCAGGGAGACTTCTCCTAGTCTTCCCTTTGGCCCTTCATCTTCTGAAGAACCCCCAGACCGGGTGGTTCCAGCTTTCCCCGGGAGCTTCTCCGGAAACTGCTGGCAGTACCGTGACAAGCCCCACCTCTCTCAAAGGGGAAGGGAATTACGGGGATCTCCTGGGCTGCAGTGCAACTAGGGTCATGTGGCTCGGTGACTGCAGCATTGGTGGGAGGCCCACAGACTGTGGGTGAAGCCATGCTAGATAGAGATCAGCATGCTTCAGTAATAGGAACTCGCACTAGGTGGTCTGATCCGGATGTATTACAATGGATTTAGAATATAATTTTGTACTACAATAGACTCCCTTGTGAAAAGGGAAGTTAAAATTAAAGGTAAATAGTTAAAGTTGTGGCCCTAGTTTTATCAAATTTCTATGTCTCAACTCTTTATTTTGGGTAAAGTTAAATAGTTAATAAAGTTGTGGTCCTAGTTTTATCAAATTTCTGTGTCTCAACTCTTTATTTTGCACTGGCCAGTCAAAGATGAATAATTGGATCCTAGATCAAATCAAGACAGAACTCTCACTAGAAGTTAAAATTACTGAACTGATGTTATCATACTTTGGGCATGGTATAAGAAGAAAAAATTTAGTGGAAAAGATAATAATAGTTAATAAAGTTGTGGTCCTAGTTTTATCAAATTTCTGTGTCTCAACTCTTTATTTTGCACTGGCCAGTCAAAGATGAATAATTGGATCCTAGATCAAATCAAGACAGAACTCTCACTAGAAGTTAAAATTACTGAACTGATGTTATCATACTTTGGGCATGGTATAAGAAGAAAAAATTTAGTGGAAAAGATAATAATGCTAGCAAAAGTTGCAGGCAGTAAGAAAATAGGGAGACCAAACATGAAACAGACTGACTCAATAAGGGAAAAACATGGCCTTTAGTTTGCAAGAACTGAGCAGGGCTGCTAATGATAGGTTATCATACGTTTGTATTGTCACCAAACAACTTGATGTCACACAGCAACAACAGTATTTAAATAGTAAAGGACAAAATGTCACTAGCTCTTCTTTTTAAAAAGCAACCATCTTTAAAATAAACAAACAACTGCATTCAATTTAATTCTTCTGCTTCAATACATCCAATGATGTTAATGTTTCACATCCACAAAAAATGAAAAATGATGTTAATGTTTCACATCCACAAAACGACATCTGTGTTAGTTAGACTAGGCAAAAACAATGGCAGTCATCTTTACCCCTCTTTCAGTCAGAAAAGCTCTGGAATGAACAAAAACAAAAGGCAGTTTTCATGCTCTACACACTGGGGCAGACTTTTTATAGAACAAATACCACATATTTTATGTATCTCCTGACCCTTTCCCACTGCCATTTTTGTAATGCATTGATATCTGCCTCTTGGGGCCACAACTGGATCTGACCATTGGCCCATACTAAAAGCAAAAGCAAAGCGTGCTGCTTATATACCGCCCCATAGCGCTTCAAGCACTCTCTGGGCGGTTTACAATTTAATTATACAGGCTACACATTGCCCCCCCAGCAAGCTGGGTACTCATTTTACCGACCTCGGAAGGATAGAAGGCTGGGTCTACCTTGAGCCGGCTACCTGGGATTGAACCCCAGGTCGTGAGCACAGTTTTGGCTGTAGTACAGCGATTTAACCACTGCGCCACGAGACTCTAGTGATTCTTTTGCATAATGACATGTACTCTTTTTCCAAAGCTGACTTCCAAGATTGCTGTATAACTCAATGAATTTCAAAGTAAAGCCTCTAGGGTGGGAATTTATACTTACTGATTTGGGAGTAGATCATACTGATTCCAAGAAAAAACATGTATAAGATTGCACGGTAGCAAGTCAAGAGAGGGAAACATCCAGAGAGGGAAAGTATATAAAACAGAAATAAAGGCAAAGCAAAAGCATAGAAGGAAAAAAATTCACAGGATCAGACCCCAGTGTTCAACACGGCCGTATAGTGAATGCCACCCCTTTGTATTTCACAGAACAGTATTTAGGCAATGTCATGGTACCTGTTACTGAGAAGTTCTTAAAAATCTTGCTCAGCTTTGAGCATATTACCAAGCCTATGCATACTGTAGCAGTATGTCATGGCAACTGATTCATTACTCCTGTTAACATTCTAATAATCATCTTTATAATTTGTAGTTCAACAGATGAAAATTAATGAAAACAACAACCAGAGAAATTTGTTTTGAAATATTCATAAAGAGATAGACTAGTGAGTAAAGGATTCAGATATGTTTTTAAAGATCTAAATCCTTTACTTTCTAGTCTATCTATTTATGAAGGTGTACTTGGAAAAACACAGACGTGTGACAAGATCCACTATGACAAGATCCAGGTGGCTGATACGGTGGACATCTTACATGGTTGTGAGACAATGATGAAGAGCAGGGTTGCACAAACACAACAGATATAGCTTAGATTAATATCAGTTTAATTGCCATGGTTTCTCTCTCAATTCCAGAACCACGGAATAGAAATTTAGTCAGGGTATTAACATTTTCACCATCAATCCACCCAATCCATCCAGGTTACCTGAGCCCGGGTTACCTAAGAAAAAGAAATGACAGATCCGTGTAAGTCAGGTGTGCATACACTCTGTCCACCTGTTTCTTGAAACCTTACCCATTGCAGACATCATTCCCAATCAATGCAAAGATAACAATTGCTGGCTTGTCAAACTGTTGAGTCCTTGCCAAGCTAGAAATGAAGAGCATTAAAAATATGAGTGTTAAAAAGTTACACAAGCCATAGCTGATCATTTTCTTTCTTTGTAAATATATATAGTAACATACAACACATTGTCCGGAACGGATTAACCTCGCTATGCGGGGCACCACTGTATATAGTAACATACAACACATTTCTGTTACACTGAACATATTGATTCAAAGTGCACCCACGGGCATTTGCAGCAAGTATGTCCAGTCAGAAAATAGGAGGCTAGTCATTATCATCAAAGACACTTGTCTTGGTGATGGCAACCACTACTGACAAAGTAGTGGTTGCAACTGCAATATTTGCATAACATAGCAGTTTCTTCCCTTAGTAGGTATTTACAAAGGAAACAAGATGCACAAGGCAGGGGATTCTCAAGTATTGCATAACATAGCAGTTTCTTCCCTTAGTAGGTATTTACAAAGGAAACAAGATGCACAAGGCAGGGGATTTTCTACAGTGGTGCCTCGCTATATGATTGCCTCGTGGGACAAAAAACCCGCAAGACGTTTGGTTTTTGCGATCACTATGGTGCCTCGCAAGACGGTTTTTTCTATGACCGTGCTTCGCAAGACTTTTTTAAAAAAGACAGATACATAGGGAACCTCTTAGACTGATGCTTCGCAAGACATTTTTTAAAGACAGATGCATAGGGAACCTCGCAAGATGATTTTTTTTCACAAGATGATGATTTTCGCAGAACGAATTAAAATCGTCTTGCGAGGCACCACTGTATAAGGAATACATAGTAGTGACAGTCGCTGATTTGCATGTTTTAAAAAGGATTAGACAGATTCACAGAATCTAGGTCTACCAATAACTCATTATGATGACCAAATGGAATCTCAGCTGGGAGAGAGGCTAGACGGAATGACAGCAAGACTGTCTTCATGACATGTAAGCTTTCTTGTGAAGAGATCTCATGCAAACATCAGAAAATCCTTGACAGATGGTCTCATTTCAGCAGCTCAGATTAGGACAATGATGAGATGTCTTCACACCTCTACTACAAGGAACACAACATTACTATAAAGATAAGAGACCACTTCTTTGTTGACTTTGTGCCTACTAAATTAACTGCACAGTTCATATCTATGCAGTCTGATGAGAAAGAAATGGAAAGCAACAGGTTGAAACTGCACTGCCCATTTAAAAACATGGTTACAGTAATAACATAAATTGGAAGATGGACCAATGTCTTTGAAATCACTTTATAAGTCACATGGTAGTCACTTGGTTTTTGGGTTGGAGTTTGTGTCCTTTTGGGAAAACATTTAAGCCATTTTTAAATTGTGTTGTGTATTGGTTGAGGGGGCTACATGAGCTTTTTAGAATTGTTGCACTTGAGGCTTTGTGCTGATTGTCTCTCACAACCACTAAACATTGCTTTGTGAGGCTATTTGTAATTTTTTTTTAAGTGCTTGCTATCTGAAATAGCACCAGCATGATATGATGGATAGAAAAAATTAAAACAGATTGGACTGCAAGCTTCCATGGCATTCCAATATGCACACGGAGACAGAGAAGGGGAGAAACACAGACACATACAGACACAAACACACACAGACAGGAGGTTGTTGAAGAAGAGAGGGATCCAGGAGCTCAGCTGGCCAGAGGAAAGACCCACCGGTGCAAAAATTTAAAGTAGCCAGCAGAAAGGGAAGCACCCCCTTCTTCCCAAGCTTGGAAGCTCCCAATCTAATAAATTTAATAATAAACAAAATTGAAAATAACCCCACAACAACAGCAGCTAATGGCTATGAGACGCAGCAAGGCAACAGACACAGTCTACACTGACAGAGGCATGCACATATGCTGAAATGTTTGAAAATAAATCAATTTGACATCCAGGTAAAAATAAATGACCCTTTGGCAGAAGAGTAAAATAACTTGCTTCCAATAAAAAAAACATGATTCCTGAGCAAAATATTCTATGCTTCCATGTGTGCCGTGTAGTCACCCTTCCAGATATCATACTAACCCTAATTCAAATAGACCCGCCCCACCATGTAATAGCACTCTTGGTCAGATCACTCAGGAAAAGGGAGAAGATTTAGAGTGAGCTTAACCTAGAAACCATGTCTCTTTCCTTCAGCATAAGAACTGTGGATTTTGATTGATTGATTGATTGTCTCACATGAGTTTTAAATAATAATAAATGGTTATTTTAGTTCTCTATATGACTGCTATTTTTTCCTTCACCACACAGCATACTAGAAGAGGGATTGAATTCCTTCTTGTCTGCCTCAGCTCCCCATGGATAGAGGATGTTTTTAGGTAGGGTAGCATGTTAATCCATTGCTAGCAAAACAAACAAACAGACCCCAGCACTGTGTAGTTCCAAGAGATGAAAAAGTGTTTAAAAAGTGTTTGCTTTTCTCTGCAGCAATGCCTCATTGCATTTTATAGAGGTTTGACAGGTAACTTCTGAGGGTGTTATTCCCTCTGTGAAGGATGAGTTTCGTAGTTTGGGTGTCCTACTGGACCCAGTGCTATCTATGGACTCTCAGATAGCATCTGTGGTCTGATCTGCCTATTTCCATCTCAGGTGCATTGCTCAACTGCGTCCCTATCTTCACACCAGGCCCTTCACCATGTTGGTCCATGCACTGGTAATCTCAAAATTAGACTACTGCAACACTCTCCACATGGGGCTGCCCATGAGGCTGTCACGGAAACTTCGACAGGTACAGAATATGGTAGCCAGATTATTGAGTGGAGTGAATAAATGTCATCACATCACCTCAATTATGGCCTCTTGCAATGGTCATCTATCTGTTTCCATGCCAGCTTCAAGGTAATGGTTTTGACCTATAAAACCCTAAGTGGTTTGGGACCTCAGTAGCTGGCGGAACAGAACCTGACCATCCTTCAAGAACATCCCAAGCAGACCGGCTGAGAATGTTGACTCCAAGAAAGGCCTGGAGGGAGAAGATTGGAAACTGGGCTTTCTCAGCAGTTGCTCCTTGGCTGTGGAATTAATTCTCTCCTGCAATTTGTTTGATCCCTTTGCTGGCAATTTTAAAAAAATCACCAAAAACCTGGTTATTTAGGCTGACATTCGAATATGTTATACTCACGAACTCAGATGGGTTAAGATCTGTTAGCTAGCCTACCTGATCCAGTCTGCCACTCGAATATGTTATACTCACGAACTCAGATGTGTTAAGATCTGTTAGCTATCCTACCTGATCCAGTCCGCCACCTTAAATATTTTGAATGTTTTATGTGAATGTATTTTTATGCTCTGACAGTATCATTATTCACATTTCATTATTTTTATTCTTTGTTTTGTTGATTGTATTTTAGTCAAGTGCTTTTATATGTTGTAAAACACCCAGAGTGGCCTTCAGCCAGATGGGCAGTGCGTGCGTGCGTGCGTGCGTGCGTGCGTGCGTGTGTGCAAGCAAGCAAGCAAGCAAGCAAGCAAGCAACTCTCTGCTCTAAAGAATGGACACAAATGTGACATAAAATTTAGCACTATTTTAAAAGCCTGGGAGGAAAACACTTTAATACTATAATGGCTTTAATAATATTATAACATTTGCAAATTACTGTTTTTTGTATTACTGTGTTTGAACCAGTCTTAGCTCTGACAAAAAGGTAGCATATTAAATAAATAAATATATACAATTAATAAACACTTTAATCTGTCAGGAGACTTTGATTCTGATCTTACATCTTACAGCCTTGAACAGAAAAACTTCAAACGTGGATTCCAGTGAGAAATTGGTGAACAAGAGCTATTTTGTGGTTGGAATACGAACAAAGGATTCTTATGTGGCTAGATCACAATTGCAAGTTTGTTTAAATTATATACCAATTCTTGTTTGTTTTATGACTACTGTTTAGGCCAATTTGTTGTTGTTGTTTAGTCGTGTCCGACTCTTCGTGACCCCATGGACCAGAGCAAGCCAGGCCCTCCTATCTTCCACTGCTTCCCGTAGTTGTGTCAATTTCATGTTGGTTGCTTCGCAGACACTGTCCAGCCATCTCATCCTCGGTCGTCCCCTTCTCCTCTTGCCCTCAAACTTTCCCAACATCAGGGTCTTTTCCAAGGAGTCTTCTCTTCTCATGAGATGGCCAAAGTATTGGAGCCTCAGCTTGAGGAGCTGTCCTTCCACAGGCCATTTTAGTTGTCTGCAATTTTATACTTTCTGTTTCCTGACTCTTCTGAGAGGTTAACTTTCCCTTTTACATCAGGATTGGTCAGACTTTCCCTCACTACTACTAATTTGCATATCTTTGCTAGACTGTCCTGGCAACTTCTCAATAATGGTTGCTTTTAAGATTATCACTTGGTGGTAGCTTTTCCACTTCATTCTCTCACATGGTTTTGCACCTCCTGCATGTTTGTCAACTGAGGCTATAGTTTATACCTCTGACAAAGTGGGCTGCAATCCACCAAAGTCTGTGCCAAATAAAATGTATTACATGTTGAGATGAAAAACACAAATCTGAATTAAAAATGGATCTCCTTTTTGTCCTACACAAACTATAATCTTGAAAAAAAAGTGAAAAAACTTTCTGAAATCATCCATAGATCAACACTGAAGAGTCATGTAGAGTGCTACATTTTGTCACTTCACTATGATGTCTTGCATTTTCCATTAAAAAAAATCTGAAACTGAACACAAACACCGATTCATGTGGGTAGCAGAACCACAGAGCAATAAAACTAAAAAAGAGAGAGTTCAGGATGTAATCAAGATACTATCTGTAGGAAAAAGTAATAATTTGAAATATTTACTCCAGTGGAAAGTTTGGAGACGTTAGAATGGTGGGATATTGAACCAGAGAGTTTACAGTTGATCAAACTATGCAAATCTTGTTAAGTGTTTACCTTTTTAACAGATCTAGAATATTTTCTGAGGAGGCACCTAAATGATCAAAAACATTAGATAAAATTAGATGTAGCACAATCGAAAGAACAGACTACTCATATATAAAACATTGTTATGCTTAGTTTCCAGTGAAGTAAATAATTAAAATAGAACCAGTTAATCATTATATACACAGTTCTTCCTTAGGGTGACTTTATTGGCCATTTGTACCACAGCGTGTGTCAGATTGGCATGGGTAGAAATAAAGTTTAAAAACAACAACCTATGCTTACATGACATAGAGTTTAGCATGGGGAAGCCTGGTGTTTTTCACTGGGGAATCATCTCTTTTTTCTTTAGCCAGCAGGGGATAGTTTATTTTGCTCCAATTTGGCTGATATTGTTTTCTCCACTTTTTGGCATGTGTGATTGCTTAATGTGATACAAAGCAACAGTCAAAGCAATGTCAATGGGGATGCTATTATATCAGTTCCCCTCAACTGAGCACATGTTGTCACCCTTCCACCAAACAATTTTTGCATAAATTATGTTTGCCAAAGATAGTGCTGTACTAGATTAGTGCTATGTCACTTTGGACAAATAAAAAAATTAGAGAAAGGAGAAAGGGAAGCGGCCCTGGTGGAAATTGTTGATTTCATCAAAGATGGCTCTTTTCACATCTTTCTGCTTCTGTCCCTGTGGACTCCTCCAACTTAATAGCTAATCATCTTTGTGTGGTTGTGTAGGCATCTTTCAGTCTCAAGAGACTATGGTAATGTGCTCTGAATAGAGTTCTTGGAACAGCGTCTAGTGTGGCTGAGAAGGCCAATATGAGAGTGACAGTCCCTTCCACACTGAGGACAAATACAATCTGTCCCCTTTCCAGCTCCCTGATTTTGCTGGTTTCGGGACTGCCTCTAAGCCTTGGCCTGCTGAACAAAGGTCTCTTCAAATTGGAAGAGCCCATGATGTACCGTCTGCCTCCATGTTGAACACTCAGATGTCAAAGTTTCCCATCTGTTGAGGTCCATTCCTAAGACCTTCAGATCCTGCTTGCAGATATCCTTGTATCTCAGCTATGGTCTCCCTCCGGGGCACTTTCCCTGTACTAATTCTCCATACAGGAGATCTTTTGGAATTCAACCGTCAGCCATTCTCATGTCATGCCCAAGCCAATGCAGACATTGCTGTTTCAGTCATGTACACATGCTAAAAATTCCAGCTCATTCTAGGACTACTCTATTTTATTGATCATCTTGGTGTGGCCAGCTACAGTAATTTTACCTGTGGAAATCAGCAGGGACCCAGTTTGAAAACTTTGAAGCAAATCAGATGTTTCCTGACCCCCAACCCCCATGTACTTGCCTCTCTGATAACTGCAATGGCACTCTTTTCCCCTTGACTTGGTGTTAGCACATTTGAATGACATGTGTAGCTGACAGGTAGTGCTATAATGGAGAATCCTACCTTCCAGCTCTGGAATCATGTTATGAATCTAAAATTCATAAGAGATAAATCTAATGGCTCAGTAGGGACACAGTGCTGAATTTTTCAAAAAACAAACTGAACCCACAAATAGAGTTTTACTTATTTCTACTGCCATTAACTATATTGGTGATTGCTATTTAATGTTTAATTATTCTTTCAATCAATAAGTAGTTGTTCTCTGGATTTGGGGATGCAACTCCTATCATAGCTAGCATTGACAACAGTGAGCGATAATAAGAACTATAGTCCAACTATGAACTGGAAGACCATAAAGTGAGCACCCCTGATTTGCTGAAATATAGAGATAATACCACATGCATATTAGGCAAGAATAATTCTTTTAGTCTTTTAGCCTGGGTCAATGCCTCCATAAGTTTCATTGATTCAATGAACTACAGTGGTGCCTCGCATAATGATTTTAATTGTTTAAAAAAAAAAAACGTTATGTGAAACATCGTTATGTGAAACACCATTTCCCATAGGAATGCATTGGAAACCGGTTAATCCGTTCCAATAGGCACGGATTGCCGTCCTTAAGCGAAAAAACCCATAGGAAACATTGTTAAACGATACAATGTTTCCTCCATTGGAATGTATTGAAACTGACTCAATGCATTTAATGGCTTTGCGAAGTCAATTTTTGCAAATTTAAGTGTGTCATAAAAGGGTCAAAAATGGTTTTAAATGCTTGGATTAGCTTCTGCACCCTCTAAAACGGATGCAAAAGTTAATTTGGCTTTGATCTGACTTTTCGTTAATTTATGGTGAATTTTTCCCCCCAACTTTTGACAGCTGTCAAAATCTTACAGCTCCATTGGTTCCTATGGGGGAAGAAAAAATTCACAAAAAATTAAGGAAGCCTCAGCAACTGTTCTAAATGCTTGGGTTCATAGGAACCAATGGAGCTGTCAGATTTTGACAGCTCCATTGGTTCCTATGGGCCGAAAAAAAAATTCACCATAAATTAATGAAAAGTCAGATCAAAGCCAAATCAGGTTTGCACACGACTTAGGGGGTCCTCTAACGAATCCAAGCATTTAGAACCGTTTTTGACCCTTCTAAGACACTTTTTAAATTGAAAAAAGAAACATTGTTAAGTGAAGCAGGGGACCTAAAATCGCATTCGTTATGCGAAGCATGGTCCCAAACTTCACTAAGCGAAAATCGCCCATAGGAAACATTGTTATACGTTGCATATTATTTTCTAAAAAAAAACATTGTTATGCGAATTCATCGCTAAACGAGGCACTCGTTAAGCGAGGCACCACTGTACTCCAGTTGTGACCTAATGCTGGATTTCAGCCATTGAAAATGGTACACAGGAACTTTTATCTCATTTTGGACACCAATCTTGGTGAGTTTATATATTCTTCTTCTGCTGAGGTACATTTTGCTTTAGCCATCTCTGTGAGGTATTCTGCTAAAAGTTATCAGAAACTGGTGACACTTCAGCATGTTGAAAATTAAGTGTAAGGACAATTGTTTTGTAAATGCCACACATTGGAGTTGTGATTCTGGGAGACAAGCTATGGAGACAGCACAGAACAAAATACTGAGAATGAGAAAGAATACGGTTAGGTTTGTGTACCAGAAGAGTATGGTTGTCACTTATCTTACTGCTAAATGAACCCTTTGTTCTCCGAAGCCTTAAGCAAACATGAAAATTTAGTGCTGCAAACCAAAGGGGCTCTAGAGCTTCCTATATTGTATCCAGGTGTTAACAATGATTGTCCAAGCAAGGAAGATTAAGATAACATTTCCCCTTTTCTAATGGCACTCAATGCTGCCATGAAATATTGGGATTTCTAATGTTCAGTGGACCGGAGTGCTCATTAATGGATATGGAACATCAGCTGTTCCGACTCAAGACAAAATCTGTCATAACAAAGTGTGATGAAAAGAACAGGGTTTGAAATTATAGACTTGAAGGCAAGTGAGTTCAGGAACAGGCTTTCAGTAAATCATGCATTACAGAATGCCATGGTGAATCCAAAGGAGAAAGCACTCTGATTCTGGATACGCTGAATCAGTGTTCACAAAGTTACTTATAGGGACTACATCTCCTGAGATCCCCTCCAGCCACCATGGCTATGCTGGAAGAGTAAACCTGACAGTTGTGACTCCCAAAATTAATGTCTGCAGACACTGCTTTGAAGCAATGCAAGCTGTTGTTCTTTTCTTTTTACTGGAACCACATTCTTTGGGAAGACAAGGGCAGCCTTTCTAATAGTAAAGTTCAGGTGGTCATTTTGGAGCTTGCATGAGGCTATTTGTGACTAAAGCCATATCTGTCCAGGCTACGGAATCTCTAAGAAGCAGACAGCCCATTGCCTGAGGTGTTCTATTTTGTTTTTCAAACTACCAAAGTACATGAATTAATTACATGAAAAGTCTGATCCAGGAAGTGCATTATGTTTGGAAGAAAGAGAAGAATATTCACTCTCATGCTTATGAAAAGAACCCGGTGGGCAAAATGTATCAATCAAATCATATTTAATAGGTTAATATTAGGTTTATTATAAGTATCCAATGATTTTGTAAGCACCATACCTAGTTATATATTTATATATTGCTTCTAAATTGCTTGTTATTAATAAATCTCTGCATGTGGTTTAAGGAGCCTCATGGCGCCATGGTTAAACGATAGTACTGCAGCGAAAACTCTGCTCACAATCCAGGTTCAATCCCAGGTCGCCAGCTTGAGGTTCACTCAGTCCTGAGGCTGATGAATTGATTAACCAGCACCATACCTAGTTATATATTTATATATTGCTTCTAAATTGCTTGTTATTAATAAATCTCTGCATGTGGTTTAAGGAGCCTCATGGCGCCAAGGTTAAACGATAGTACTGCAGCGAAAACTCTGCTCACAATCCAGGTTCAATCCCAGGTCGCCAGCTTGAGGTTCACTCAGTCCTGAGATTGATGAATTGATTAACCAGGGTAATGTGTAGGCTGCATAATTAAATTATGAACGGCCCATGAAAAGTGCTCTAAGTGTTATGAAATGCTACGTAAGCATCATACTTTGTTTTGCTTTTACTTTTGTTTTTATGTGTGTAATAAGATTTTATATTACCTTTCCGTCTTTATATTTACAGTCATGCCCCGCTTTACGATTGCCCCACATTACGACAAAACCGCATTATGACGTTTTTGTGATCGCTTTTGCAATCGCAAAAAGATAGTCTGAATAGGCTTTTTTTGCTTTGCGATGATCAGTTCCCTGCTTTGGGAACCGATTCTTCGCAAAATGACGATTTTCCTATAGCTGATCAGCGGTTTCAAAATGGCCACCGGGTAAATAAAATGGCTCCCCGCAGTTTTCTGGGACGGATTCCTCGCAAGACAGCCACTGAAAATGGCCGCCCTATGGAGGATCTTCGCTGGACAGTGAGTTTTTAGCCCATTGGAATGCAGTAAAGGGGTTTTAATGCATTTCAATGGGTCTTTTATTTTCTCATTACGACGTTTTCATTCTACAGTGATTTCACTGGAATGAATTAATGTTGTAATATGAGGCACCACTGTATTTGTTTGGTACATTCTCATGTTTTTGCTTGTTCATATTTAACACATTATTACAATTCTTCTGCCTTAGGAGGATTCTTCCTAAAATATGCTACTCCGGACCAATCTACCTAGCTTTGTGTGGTCGTGGTCAACACCAGGGAATAGGAATATGTAGTGTTCCAGATGTGCAGCTCCTAATGCTTTTGCACTGAATCTCCCATATTCTTTATTAGCTATAGTGAGAGGTGGGAGCTGCTGTCAACAACATCTGGAAAACTACATGTTTTATGTCCTGTCTACTGTAAACTGAAGCAGCATCCTAGACTTTCAGAAAGAGGTCTTTCTTGCCCCTGACCTGGAGATGACAGGGATTAAACATGAGGCTTTCCTGTCTTGCATGCAACCCCATGTGCTCTACGGCTGTTTTACAGATCTTCCCGTGAACACAAGCTGCAGGTACTTGGCCAGTTTTTCCCCAGCCTTGAGGTCTCATTATTTCTATGCATGCTGAGTGAGCAGAATTGCACTATTTGCCAGTGAGGCATGAGACTGACGTACCATTTTTGGAAAGCTGCTGGTAATCTCTGTGGTTGCAATGGTTTCTTCTGCGTAAATTTAAGTAGAATGACTCTGTCCATCCTCTGGAACAAAATTAACAAGGAAATGGTTAGTGAATTCACTGTAGAACTAACAAATTAAGAGTAGCAAAGATAATAAAAACACTTGCTGGTTTTCTGCTCAACAATTTTAAGGGAAGGTATTTTGTGACTAAATATTCTCACAGTGTTTATTATATTATTATATGACCTGTGACATAGGCTGCATGGAGAGATAAAGATTTTTCTAAGGGAGGCCACTGAGCTTCACATCTGAAAAGAATTTGAACTCAGATTTCTTACACCCAGTTTTCAAAAACTTCTTATTGGATACAGACAGTTAAACTGTATTTGCTGCAGCAGCTATGTGGCAGTGAGATTCCCAGGGTCCGTCCATCTTTGGCCGATGACACAGGTGGCGCAGTTGTGGGAGGGAAGGTGGTGTGTGGAGCAGCTGCAGCATTTAGATAAGGAGGTATGTTCTACCAGCTCTCCCTTACTGCCTGCCTCAAGGGATTCATAGTTAATAGACAGACCAATGTTGGAACTGGAGTTACCACTCACTCATTTTACAGGTCAAAGCTGCAATCAAATACACCAGAGTTTTCCATCACTAGCTAATGAGATCAGCCAGTATACAAATGTAAGAAATTAAATACACACACACACACACACACACACACACACACACACACACACACACACACACACACACTGGTGACGGTTGGGAAAATGATTTGTTTGTGGCTAAAAGTTTGCCTTAGATTTTTATTATATTGTGCTTAATTATTTTCTGTGTGCAGTACAACTATTTTGTGAGGAATACTGAAGAAAACACAAATCCTACAAGTTGCTATATGCATAGTAATTTGCTACATTTACATATCTTTACATTCCTAAATTTGCTCCAAAACCTGACCACAAAATTTGGTACAAACCCCAATGTGACAACTCTGAAAATAATCTGCTCTAACTCAGGGCATGACTACACTACAGTTTATCCCGCAGCTTGTGCCAGAGTTGTCACAGTTAAATTTGAAACTGTAGTGCTTATCTGACATAATCCACATGGAAAAATATAATTTAAAAAATCGTTCGGAGAGACAAATGGTGTTCAATTTAGGGGGATGTTCCCACAGGACTGGCATATCTTTAGCAGGGTGCAGTCTGCCAGTACAATGGCAACTTCCCACAAGTGAATACTACTTGCCTTTCCTCCAAACAATTTTCTATGACAGATAAGCACTGCAGTTTTAAAAGTTGCTATTTCAATTCAGCACTTGGCAATTTTTTTAAAAATGTGAGGTGGGGAAGAAGGTGGTGTTAATAATACAAGAGGGTAAGCAACATGTAATCACAGTGAAAATTGTAGTGATTTAAGGTGCAGTGTGGACTTTTGCTCTCAAAATTGTCAAAGGTAAATATATATTCGGTGTGAATGCCAACGGCAATGTAATAGTCATAGGTAACTTCAGATTGACCTGAATCAAGCTGGGACAGCCAACCTGGCTAGATGCACCTCCAGACTGACTTGGTTTAGATTATACTTGACAAGCCCAGTGGTTTTTCCTACTTTCCTCAGTTTAAGCTTGAATTTTGCTATGAGAGGCAGATGATCAGAGCCACAATCAGCTCCGGGTCTTGTTTCGGCTGACTGTATAGAGCTTCTCCAACTTTGGCTGCAGAGAATATAATCAATCTGATTTCGGTATTGCCCATTTCGTGATGTCCATGTGTAGAGTCACCTCTTGTGTTGTTGGAAAACAGTGTTTGTGATGACCAGCTTGTTCTCTTGACAAAACTCTGTTAGCCTTTGTCCTGCTTCGTTCTGAACTCCAAGGCCAAACTTCCCTGTTGTTCCTTTTATCTCTTGACTTTAGCATTCCAATCCCCTAGAATGAGAAGAACATCTTTCTTTGGTGTCAATTCTAAAAGGTGTTGTAAGTCTTCACAGAATTGGTCAATTTCAGCCTTTTCAGCATTGGTGTTTGGTGCATAAACTTGGATTACTGTGATGCTGAAAGGTCTGCCTTGGATTAATATTGAAATCATTCTATCATTTTTGAGATTATATCCCATTACAGTTTTTCCCACTTTTTTGTTGACTAGGAGGGCTATTCCATTTCTTCTACGGGATTTTTGCCCACAATAGTAGATATGACATTCATCTGAACTGAATTTGCCCATTTCCATCCATTTTAGTTCACTGACACCCAGGATGTCAATGTTTATTCTTGCCATCTCCTGTTTGACAATGTCCAGCTTACCAAGGTTCATAGATCTAATATTCCAGGTTCCTATGCAGTATTTTTCTTTGCAGCATCGGACTTTCCTTTCACTTCCAGGCACGTCCACAGCTGAGCGTCCTTTTGGCTTTGGCCCAACCACTTCAGTAGCTCTGGAGCTACTTGTACTTGTCCTCTGCTCTTCCTTAGTAGCATGTTGGACGCCTTCCGACCTGAGGGGCTCATCTTCCAGCGTCATATCTTTTAGCCTTTTGTTTCTGTCCATGGGGTTTTCTTGGCAAAGATACTGGATGTGGCTTGCCAGTTCCTGCTCCAGGTGGATCACATTTAGTCAGAACTCTCCACTATGACCTGTCCATCTTGGGTGTCCCTGCACAGCATAGCCCATAGCTTCTCTGAATTGCTCAAGCCCCTTCGCCACGACAAGGCAGCAATCCATGAAGGGGTTTCCTTTTGGTAGACTTAATCTGTTTCTTGCCTGTTCATAGTATAGTAGTTTTCTTTGCAAGCTGCTGAATATTTGCTTCTTATCTATCAGTAATTTCAGGAGTTTAATCAGTTACACATAGAAACTTACTTTCTTTTTAGCTACAAAGATAGTCTTTTTTACATGGATTAAACTGCTTATTCCAGTCCACAGTTTTTCTATTGTGTGGTTGCTGGAGCTTAATAATGTAAATCTATTCTTCACATGCTCCGTACATTATTCAGGAATGTTATTTAAATGATATCTTGATACTATGACTTCTTAAAATATTCTCCTTTGGCTTTATTCATTTTTTTTTATTTTTACTGTTTTCCTGTTTCATTTCTATCTCCTGGGTAAAGCATTCTAACAGTGTTTAGTTCTGCTTTGTCTCCTCTTTTGCATTCCAGTCACTGATGATTATCAGTACAGCCTGTTTTGATGTGTGATCAATGTCTTCCTGAATACTTTCGTGGAGCTTTCTTCTTCTTCCTCAGCTTCTGTAGTTGTAACATAGACTTGAATGATGGCTTTGTGGATAGGCTCTCCATGAAGTCTAAATGATATTGATCAAGTAGATTTTTCATCATATATCATAACTGCTTGTACTAAATCAGTGGTTCCTAACCTTGGGTCCCCATATGTTCTTGAACTAAAACTCCCAGAAGCCTTCACTACTAGCTGATCTTGCCCAGGATTTCTGGGAAGTGTAGTCCAACCACATCTGGGGACCCAACATTGGGAAATACTGATCTAGACATCACCAGCAACATTCCACAGAGGTTATACGCTTTAGGCCAGCACATAGACAAAATGGCTAGACAAACAGGGAAAGGCCTTTTAAAAAAGTGGTTACATTATTGCTAAGCAAGAAACACATTTATAGCACAAGTTTCTAAAAGGAGAAGCAAACTGAGCCAGGAGGAAACTGCCTGCGGAACAGGAAAGGCAGTAAACTAATGAGTCTTTAACATTCCCTAGATGTGCACATTTTTCTTACTTAGATCACACTCCTGCTTTTGGGAGTGATGGGACATGGATCTGTTCCAATCAGTTAGCACAACCAATCACACCACATTAATTTCTGTATATTGCAACTACTTACCTAATGTGAGGTGCACACATACAGTCATGGGAAAAAGAAAATACAGTGGTGCCTCGCTTAGCGATCGCTCTATTGAGCAATGAAATTGCTTTGCGATGGACTTTTGGCCATCGCTGGAGCGATCGCGTAGCGATGTCCCCTATGGCTAAAATTCGCTTTGCGATGATCGTGGGGAAGCTATCATGGCAAAGCAAACTTTTTAAAACAGCTAATCGGTGGTTCGAAAATGGCCACAGCAAAAACAAAATGGCCACTGCTGTTTTGCCTCGCTTTAGAGGCACCCAAAATGGCCACTGCTATGGAGGAATTTCGCTTTAAGGTAAGTTTTTAGCCCATAGGAACGTATTAAACATATTTTAATACATTCCTATGGTCTTTTTAATATCGCTTAGCGATTAAATCACTTAGCGATATTTTTTCCGGAACAGATTAACATCGCTAAGTGAGGCACCACTGTACAGCTTCTCTGAATTCAATAGCTGAAAAGTACACCTTGTGATTTAATAGTTTGTAGAACCACCTTTAGTAGCAATAACGTCAAGTAATTTTTTTGGTATAACTGTATCAGTCTCTCACATCATTAGGGAGGAATTCTGGGCCACTCTTCTTTACAACATTGCTTCCGTCCACTGAGGTTTATGGGCATTTGTTTATGCACAGCGTTCATAAGGTCCCGCCACAGCATGCCAATCAGGTTGAGGTCTAGACTTTGACTGAGCCATTGCAACACCAAATGGTTTATAATCCTTCCCAGATTGATGGGCATCAACAATTGCGTCTCTATGATAATTACTGATGTTCTTCTTCTTTGGTATTGTGTTAACACCCCTGAATGCTCCAGATCAGCAAACTGCTAAAACTTAGGCTTTTATAGAGGTGGTTGCACCTGCTGATGATTAGAGATGGGGATGAACCACCAAGGTTGATGACCCACGGCCCATGAACTTCCCCTGGGATTTCTGGTGAACCACACATTGGTTAGTCAATTGTTGGGTTTTTTAGAAAGCCTATGGCTGTAAAAAAAAAAAAAAAAGCTGAGCCCCCCACCCCCTTTCCACTGCTCCTCTTTGCCTCCTTACTTTGGCCTGCCAGCGGCGATGGCGATGCTGGAATGAAAGCCACAGTTCTGTCCAGCAAGCCTGCTCTTTCTGCCAGTGGACCAGGCCCATAGTCAAAGAGAGTAGACTAGTTGGACAGAACCATGCTGGTAGGCTCTCTCTGTCTCTGTGGGTGCTAATCAGCTGACTGACACTTGGAGAGGCAGAAAGATCAGGCTAGCCAGCCGGCACAGTTCTGCCTATGGGCTCTTTCTGCCTATGGGCCAGGACAAGGTAGGGAGGTGGTGGTGGGCAGTGGGAAAGCGGGCAGGGGGTGGACTGTGCGGGCAGAGAGCAAGCCCATCAAATGGCTGTTTGACAGGCCCATAGGCAGAGAAACCAAACTAGGCTGCTGTAACAGCTGTTCTGGCAGCCTATCTTGCTCTTTGGGCCCAAGCCCAATGAAAGCATGAATAAAAAGGGTAATTATTTGTCACTTCGTATTTGTTAGGGCCTCTGAAACTGACAAATACAAAGTGATGAAGATTACATGAATCAGAGATTTCTGATGAATATCGCTATTCATTTCTTAAAATTTGTTCCCATGTCTACTGATGATCAGTTACTCAAGGGCATTTGGTTAGCAGTACCTAGCTGCTACTTAGCCTCTTAATTCCTATGGAAGCAATAAGGGTGTACATAGTTTTTCACACATGGCTTCTCCATTTTGGCTTCATTTTTGTAAAATAAATCTTTATAGCTGCTTGTACTAAAGATGTACAAGGTGGTATAATATGTCATGTGCCGTTGTTCATCTCAGGTTTTATTTACTGTACTTAATTTTCAGATTTGCTAAGGACTAGATGATTTTTATTATGTCCTGATAAAACCATAGAATTCAAAGAAAGTGTTATTTCTTTTTTGCTTGATTATAGAAGTTCCCAACAAAACATCGGCTGATGTGTTCAGTATCAAAGATGGAGCAGTCTGTTTATCAGTAAAGGTAAAGGTTCCCCTTGACAATTTGTCCAGTCGTGTTTCAAACCCATAGAGCTAGAATTTGTCTGAAGATAATCTTCTGTGGTCACATGGCCAGCACGACTAGGGACACGGGACACTGTTACCTTCCCACTGTGTTGGTACCTATTTATCTACTCATATTTTGCATTTTGCATGCTTTCGAACTGTTAGGTTGGTGGGAGCTGGGACAAGAGACGGGGGCTCGCTCCTTCACTTGCATTTGATCTTACAACTGCGGGTCTCCTGACCTTGCAGCACAGAGGCTTCTGCAGTTTAACCCGCAGCACCACCATGTATTTATAGTACAGACCAATTTTGTTTGTGCTCATTTATAAGTCTATTTTAATCCTTTTCTACACAAAGAAACACATTTTAATATACATTTAAAATGTACTAAAATATACATTTTGAAACATGTCACATTTTGTATATTTTTGAATGCATTTCCCATGATGCATACATTTTAAAATATATTTCCTTCAAATGTTTTAATATATTTTTAAAACTAAGAATTACATACTAAAATCTGAAATACAAAAGGAAACATTCTGATCAGGAGATTCATTAGGTGCAACTCCTGTTAGTTCATTTCAAAATGAAAATCGAACAAATTCCTTCAGCATAATCAGTTAACATATACATTCGTTTCAGAAGAGAAGGGTATCATTTATGAAACATCAGAGAAGGGTAGCAATGCTCAATTATTTCCAACATGGAGTAGCTCTCCATGTTTGTTCATCCTGGTTTTGTCTCTCCTTTGCTTACCCAATTGTGGAATTCAAAAATCCAGTGGTTCCTGAAAACTGAGGCCAATCAAGTTCATTTGATAGTACTTCAGGAATATTAGAAAATGCTTTCTGAAAAGAAAATGAACAAATCAGCATGGTTTTGACCTCATACACCTTAGTGTAACAATAACAGCAAAAAGCCCCATGCCCCTTGTACACAATCTGAAGACAGCATGGTCCTTTACTTAGACCACTAATCTAGCTTTTTTACTTCTGCAGGAGCCTTCATCAGCCAGGGAACTGCACAGATTATTTGGGCAAGGTGTTGGAGTGGGTGGTGGCCGGGCAACTCCAGATGCTGCTGGATGAAATGGATTTTCTAGATCCATTTCAATTGGGTTGCAGGCCAGGTTTTAGCACAGAGACTGCTACTTACTTACTTACTTACTTACTTACTTACTTACTTACTTACTTACTTACTTACTTACTTACTTACTTACTTACTTACTTACTTACTTACTTACTTACTTACTTACTTACTTACTTACTTACTTACTTACTTACTTACTTACTTACTTACTTACTTACTTACTTACTTACTTACTTACTTACTTACTTACTTACTTACTTACTTACTTACTTACTTACTTACTTACTTACTTACTTACTTACTTACTTACTTACTTACTTACTTACTTACTTACTTACTTACTTACTTACTTACTTACTTACTTACTTACTTACTTACTTACTTACTTACTTACTTACTTACTTACTTACTTACTTACTTACTTACTTACTTACTTACTTACTTACTTACTTACTTACTTACTTACTTACTTACTTACTTACTTACTTACTTACTTACTTACTTACTTACTTACTTACTTACTTACTTACTTACTTACTTACTTACTTACTTACTTACTTACTTACTTACTTACTTACTTACTTACTTACTTACTTACTTACTTACTTACTTACTTACTTACTTACTTACTTACTTACTTACTTACTTACTTACTTACTTACTTACTTACTTACTTACTTACTTACTTACTTACTTACTTACTTACTTACTTACTTACTTACTTACTTACTTACTTACTTACTTACTTACTTACTTACTTACTTACTTACTTACTTACTTACTTACTTACTTACTTACTTACTTACTTACTTACTTACTTACTTACTTACTTACTTACTTACTTACTTACTTACTTACTTACTTACTTACTTACTTACTTACTTACTTACTTACTTACTTACTTACTTACTTACTTACTTACTTACTTACTTACTTACTTACTTACTTACTTACTTACTTACTTACTTACTTACTTACTTACTTACTTACTTACTTACTTACTTACTTACTTACTTACTTACTTACTTACTTACTTACTTACTTACTTACTTACTTACTTACTTACTTACTTACTTACTTACTTACTTACTTACTTACTTACTTACTTACTTACTTACTTACTTACTTACTTACTTACTTACTTACTTACTTACTTACTTACTTACTTACTTACTTACTTACTTACTTACTTACTTACTTACTTACTTACTTACTTACTTACTTACTTACTTACTTACTTACTTACTTACTTACTTACTTACTTACTTACTTACTTACTTACTTACTTACTTACTTACTTACTTACTTACTTACTTACTTACTTACTTACTTACTTACTTACTTACTTACTTACTTACTTACTTACTTACTTACTTACTTACTTACTTACTTACTTACTTACTTACTTACTTACTTACTTACTTACTTACTTACTTACTTACTTACTTACTTACTTACTTACTTACTTACTTACTTACTTACTTACTTACTTACTTACTTACTTACTTACTTACTTACTTACTTACTTACTTACTTACTTACTTACTTACTTACTTACTTACTTACTTACTTACTTACTTACTTACTTACTTACTTACTTACTTACTTACTTACTTACTTACTTACTTACTTACTTACTTACTTACTTACTTACTTACTTACTTACTTACTTACTTACTTACTTACTTACTTACTTACTTACTTACTTACTTACTTACTTACTTACTTACTTACTTACTTACTTACTTACTTACTTACTTACTTACTTACTTACTTACTTACTTACTTACTTACTTACTTACTTACTTACTTACTTACTTACTTACTTACTTACTTACTTACTTACTTACTTACTTACTTACTTACTTACTTACTTACTTACTTACTTACTTACTTACTTACTTATTTGTTCGATTTATATCCCGCCCATCTGGTATATTCTACCACTTACAATCTACTGTTACAATCCACAGATGACCATGGAGTGTTTACAGAAACCACATTGCCACCAGAACACAAAGCAATTGGGAGCAAATGATCCTACAAAAGGAAAATGCAGATCAATGGGGAATATAGGTACAAAGCCAAGAAAAAATGTACACTATGATGAGTTTTTTCCCCCGAACAGTAAAGGCAGAATCTTTGAGGTTAGCATTAACTCTGGCTGCTTCAAGAAATTACCCAGTTAGTCATTTTGACATAACTACAGCATACTTGAATGTAGATCTGCAAGAAGAATTATACATGGTTCAGGCACCTGGGTGTGAGAGTTCTCAACCAGGAATAGTGTATAGGTTAAACAAGGCAATTTATGGGATTAAACAGTCTGCACAAAATTGGAACCAGTGTCTAGATTTAGCACTGAAAAGACTGAAGTTTAAGACTAGCCTGGCAGACCCATGCCTTAATGTCCAAGAAAATAGAAAAGAGCAAAATATTTTGCTAGCATACGTCGATGACATATGCTTCATGTCAAGAGAACAAGCTTGAATTAATCTGTTTGAAAAACAACTGAAAAAAAGTTCAAACTAAAGAACCTGGGCCAGATACAGAATTATTTGGGGGTTCAAATTCAGAAAAAAAACAATGGTTATGTCCTAAATTAGAGATTAAAGATAGAGGAAATGCTAATGAAATACAGCATGCAGGACTGCAAAAGTGTACAGACACCCATGACAGTAGATTTTCAAAAGTCAGAGGATGAAAGCAAAGAGTTTGAAGAACAAGAAGTGTACCAGCCAGCAATTGGAAGTTTACAATATCTAACAAATTGGACAAGGCCAGATATTGCTGTAAGAGTCAATATTCTGAGTAGGCATACTGCAAAGCCAACATAGAAACACTGGTTGAGGGTGAAAAGAATATTTAGGTACCTAAAAGGTACCCTTGATTCCTGTTTGTTAATACAACCCTCTAGTGATTTAAAATTAAAGGTTTATGTAGATAGTGATTGGGCCAACAACATAACTGATAGGAAATCAATATCAGGTTTCACAATAAAGTTTGCTGAGACATTGGTGGGATGGAAATCAAGAGGGCAAAGTTCTGTTGCCACATCCATCGCTGAGGCAGAGTTTGCTGCTCTTTCAGAAGTATGTTCAGAGCTAGTGTGGTATAAGCAGTTGCTTATAGATCTGAAAATTAAAGTGGATCAGGCCATAACAGTGTTTAAGGACAACATCACATGCATACAGATGGTAACCACAGAAAAAAAATGAAAAGTACTGCAGAAGCAAACACATTGATATTAAATATCACAATGTTAGAGAGGCAGTAAAAGAAAAACTACTGTATTTTTTGCACCATAAGACTCACTTTTTTCCCACAAAACAGGGGGGTGGAAAGTCTCTGCATCTTATGGAGCGAAGAAAACAGATTATATTTTCCTGTTTTCTTCTCCTAAAAAATCGGTGCGTCTTATGGAAAGGTGCGTCTTATAGAGCGAAAAATACGGTAATTCAACTGCAGTATTGTAAAACGGAAAAGAATGTAGCAGACATTCTAACAAAAACACAGAGAACTAACTGAAGAGTTGGGAATATGTTCTGCTCAGGTATAAATTAGGAGAGGTGTCAAGCTATCTTTGTCTGTGTGATTCAACTGGACTGCCTGGACTGAAACAAAACTCTGGTAATTTACACCAACATAGACCATAATCAACTCTAGAGCCAGCCCAAAACATTGATACTAACATTCAAATGACATGTATTCGCGAAGGCTTTCACGGCCAGGATCTAATGGTTGTTGTTGGTTTTTCAGGCTCTTTGGCCATGTTCTGAAGGTTGTTCTTCCTAATGTGTCACCAGTCTCTGTGGCCCGCGACTTTCAAGAGGACAGCACTCTGTGCTCAGAGTGCTGTCCTCTGAAGATGCCGGCCACAGAGACTGGCGAAACGTTAGGAAGAACAACCTTCAGAACACAGCCAAAGAGCCCGAAAAACGCACAACAACCATTCAAATGACACCCTGCAAATCTCTGATTGAATACCTGTAAGACGACTGGGCTGGCAGTTAAACCTTGTTTTATATTGATAATGGGACAGCAATCTTTTCTGTTGAAGGCAGTGGACTAGTATAGTAGACACAGTTGTCTCAGCATCTTGCCATTGGTCTCTGCTCTGGTTTGTCACAGCTGTCTCATTCTGACTAAAGGTAGGTTTTGTGACTACATACTGAGGATTGGTAGGGAAAGGGAAGGCTTTCAGGTCTGAGAGCAGTGCACACAAGTAAGATACGGCCCTGAAACTAAGCAGTACTTCAAAATGCTGCAGAAAACACTTACATTTGGAGCAATATACTTCTGGCTAAATTGGACTATTTGACCATTGTAGGACAGCATGATGCTAACACTATCTAAAATAATAGCTTAAACACATTACTTTCATGCTCCACTGTCTTTACTTATCATCATCACCAGTGTTGCTTCCATATTTATTAGGCATGTTAATCTTAACTGACACTGCTTCAAATTTACTACATTTCTCACCGGTACTGTTATCAGTGTCATTTCAGTAATCATTTCTCATAAACAAAGAAAAACAACAACTCCTAATGTAGAATATTCAAATCTGTTGGGTTCTCCAAAGAGAAAATTAAAGCTACAGTGTTGATTGTAATTTGCATACTGTCCATCATGTTGTAATTATTGGTACTGAATAAATGCTTTCTCAGTTGCATTCCCCCCTCTCATTCTCTCCTCAGAGAGTTCCAACATGTCACAGATGTAGACCATTCCTTTTCTGAATTAAAATGAGAGCACTTCGTAAATTTTCATCTGGAGACAAAGACATTGGAACTGTGAAAACTGCAAAGTATCAGACATGCATATTGTGTATCTAAGTTGTAACAAATTCAGCTGCCAGGATGTTTATGATTCAGTGACCTTACTACACTGGAGGTGGCCAGTTGTTTCGGTAAAGTTAAAAATGGTTTTTAATGACTATAGTAAACTATTTCCAAGCCTCAATTTTAAACCTATTTCTACTGTCAAGCCAACTTTACTGCACCCTTTATCTGTATTTTAATACCTTATATGACAAACTACCTCTTTTTTAAATAAAATGCTAATATGCATCATCTAGTTTTAGTCTCAGACATAGATTTGTTCATTTACATGCCAATTATCATCAGTATGACTAATAGGGTGCTATTGGTAACTGGCTTCAACCTTTCAGGATCTTTTTGCATCTGTCTATATCTGATTCTAGCTAACCACTATTTTGTTTTGGGCTGTTATTCATTCATTTTATATCTACCCTGCCTGTTTCACACTAAAGGGTTTTAAGACATTTGAGCCCTTTTCACCTATTAGGCAGGACTCCATGCAGCTTTCTTATGGAAAATATGACCTATCAGTTTTATTAGCTAGGTGTGGGAAAAGGCTGTTCTTCTAAATCAGGAATGCGGAAGCTAAAGAGCTTGGGGGGTTAATTTGTGCATCCAGCTCCCTGTGTGAAACTTCTAAATTGTCATTCTCTGCATTTAAAAATGGATCACTCTTCTAGTTTTGTTTTGTTTTTCAATGGCTGGTGGAGGGGCCTTGCCCCCGCAACCCATATAGTATAAACAGTATTTCTTCCAGGAGCTGCAAATTTTAGTCCTTTAAAAATGTTATTTGTGTGTGTTTTCTGCATAGGAGGCTAGTGGGGACCTTTGAGGATGGAAAAAAATGGTCCACTTACAGCTCACATATTGCACTTTGCTCATTTCTTTTCTAAGTGGTGTTACTAAACAAAAAGCTAAAGACTGGAAGTCTTGGCCTATGACTAAGATCCCCAGAGGCATACAACTAATGATATAGCTTGGCTAAAGGATGCCTCCCAACCAATTACTGTACATACTTTTGCCTCTGCTATTGTTTTCAGATTTCTTTAAAATAAAAAGTATTTCCATCTAGTCTCTCCTAATGATGAGCATTTCACTAGGAAAAAAATAATGACTGTTTTATAAATAAAAAAACGAGACACACAAGAGAAACTATGGCATGTATGGTACTAACAGGTTGTACATACTGTATGTCTCCTTGAAAGAAAGGATTCTAGTCTTTTTGGTTTGTTAATATACATGTAATGTATTATATAGTAGATGATGATGCATTATTTTGTGGATTTTTTTCAAGAAAAAGTGGCACGTTTTGTAACAGAAAAAAAGGTAAATTCTCAAACAGCCGATTTGTATGATGAGAAAAGGAAATGGCATACCTTTGACATTTTGGAGGCTGTTATCCATTCAGGAGGGATGTGAAAGTGAGCTGCAGCTGAATCTCCCAGAATGATTATCCCCTTGGAATCTGTGCCTGAAGAAGGTATTTTATTAATAACTGCAAAGCCCTCATTAACGTTTCCCACAGTGGCAAGTTGCATCAGGCACAATTGTTTTAAGAAAATCCATGCAAATAGCTCAGTGCACAAAAAGCAATGAAAATAATGAGTTGTCCATTTGTGCTAATTTCCAAACATGATATAAGATTTTTTTGCAGTATAAAATAATCTAGAAAAAGCAGATACAGGGACCATTTTTTTTTTAAGTGCATGCTAAATTAGACACATTTCTATTAGGCCTCTTTGGAGGTTTGAATTTGTACTTGAATATCAGCTCTGCTGTAAGCAACATAAATTTTTAGTATCTACTATATATCCAACAACTTTAAATCATTCAGTGAAGACAGAGTATTGAGAACATTGCTCAAAAGGAGGTCTATTAGAGGAAAATTACAAGCTGTACTTAAACATGTGTCGAGTCTGTTTGAAATATCCATGGCCTGACACAGTAATTTGTACCCAGAAATGACAAACTGCAGCACAGAGAGGCTTTGACTTACTACGTACTAATGGCTTTATAATGCCACAAAGCCATACTGAACCGAAGGCAAGATCAGTAGAGGAGCTGTGGTACAAACCAGATCTGGGGTAAATTCCAGGGTAGTTTAATCCATAGCTGATTTGACACATATGCAACATTTGAATCAGTCTGTGTTTGCTCCACAGTTTTGCCTTCTGCCTTTGCTCCTCTACACCTAGAAAGGTTCTCACAGTGGATACAAACTTTTGGAGCACAGATTGTAAATGATCTTGCATTGGGTGGCAAGATATTCTGGTTCACTGCTATAGCACATACTCTTGGCATTTAGAAGGCCCCAGGTTCAGTCTCCAGCATCTCCCAGCAAGGCTAGGAAAGAATGCTGCCTGAAATCCCAGAAACTGGCTATCAATCAGAGTTGACAATATCAACTAGATGGGCTGATGGACCATCTTGGCATAAGGTAACTTCCTATCTTCCTAAAAAGACTAAGAGGCTGGCTACATGAGCATTTAGTTTGCTATTTGATCAACTGCAGGGACAAGCTGATTTGCTCCTAAAAGCAAAAAAGCAAAGTGTGCTGCTTATATACTGCCCCATAGTGCTTAAAGCACTCTCTGGTTGGTTTGCAATGCAATTATGCAGTCTACACATTGACCCCCACCCCCTGAAAGCTGGGTACTCAATTTACCAGCCTTGCAAGGCTGGAAGGTTAAGTTAACCTTCCTGGAATTGAACCTGCGTTATTTTACAGAGTCTTGGCTGCAGTACTGCAGTTTAACCACTGTACCACGATGCTCTAAAGACAGTGATATGATCAGGTCTTTGCTGGAGAGATCCAGTCCACCCCCATGGAGAGAAGAAGTACTCCTGTAAAATCAGGGTATCCAATGATTGCACTATCAGTTCAAGTTTATGCTTCTTATGTACAGTAGTTATGCACGCACATGTATGCATGCGTGTGCACACACATACATACTTAGAGAGAAAGAGAGGACAGAGAATTATATATTTTAACAAATCTGGACAATTGTAGCAAAAGGTTTGTAGAAAATGACTATGACTATCCTCACAGCTGTATTTTAAAAATTAAACAAATTACCATTACAGAATTTCTGCTCGTAGGGGATGCCATCTTTGGGATCAACACCCTGAAAGAGAAGAAGAAAGCATGAGTTTGCAGCTCTCCACCCATATACAACCCCATCTTCAATGAAGAGATATTAATTAATTAATTCCTGCACTCATACATTTTCTTTTAAAAGTTGCTGCACCAGCAACAGAAACATCATTAACAAAATACAGGCAGTCCATTCTTCCAATCAGAGGTGGGCATGACTGAAGGCAGACTGGGGTGGTGAAATTCACTGACGTGGCACCACAAGTGCCACGTGTTCCCTCTCCCCACTCCCTGGCCAGCTGCCCAACTCACAAGCCTCCACAATGCCATCCAGGATGTCCTCCATCTCTGGGTGCCCAGTTCAGGAGGGAGGCTTCCCTTTTGTGTCTCCTCCATCAGCCAACCACTCAGCCGCCACACAGGGAGGATCCCTGTCCTGTCTCTTCATCTGAGTGGTTGGCTGCCGGAGCAGGTGGGGAAGGGAAGCTATTGCTGGAGGAGTTTGGGCTAGAGCATTCCCCAACAGACGGAAATGTCACTTTAAGGGAGATTGCTCCGAGCAAAGCAATTGTTTTCCATGTGATCAAACGTGCACCTTTCTTACTGTCTGATTGCACCTTCGGTTTCCCAAACAGTACTTTTTAAACTATTAGGATTGTGTGTGTGTGATTATGGACAGATGTTTGTTGTATAGACTTTGAGAGGGTGGGCCACGACAATAAGGCATTAGGATCTGTTCCCCCTCCCCCCCAGCCATTGCTTTACTTTGCCTTGAGATTTGCATATTCTAAGTCAGCGAACTGCTGCAACCTGTTCAGTCTACCTGTGTGTCCCACAAGACAGGTTCAATTTTCAATGTACTGTGGAGTTCCTTTTTTCAATGTCTTACCTTTCAGCCTTAAAGTTTTTCCAGGGCAAAATAGTGGCCCAACATATGAATGGCTCTCAGCTAGGACACAGAAAGATTTTCACCTCTAGAGGCTGTACAATCAAATTTCATGTTGTTTTCCCAGCACCCTATATAGGAGAGAAACTGGGATCATCCCTCTTGAGGCATGTGCATTGCAGTAGCTGATCAGCACATGGCTCAGGCTCAATCTCTATCTGCTTAGTTTAGCTCTCTTGATCCTAACTGGCACTTATGCCTCAGACTGAGCAAGAATCATTAAGAGGAAATTACAGCCCTTCAGATTATCACTCCTAGTCCTTTTGCACCTAGGTTTAATAAAAGCTAAGGAAATAATCAGACAATTAATCTGAGATGGTCAGAGACTGTGTTTCATGCTGTTTGACAACCAGTAAGCTCAGTAAAATCTTCACTCCAACAGACTATCTTCACCATCTAGAAATCACTAAATATCACAAAGCTTTCACCTTGGCTGTTGTAATGTACTTCCTTCAGCATGCTTTGAAAGGAGGCACTTCCATGTCTCCTACAAGCAATGTCTCTGCCCCACCAATCTGGCATGATGGAAACTGTTGATCACGTTCTTCTATACTGCTCATATTAGAAAGAAAGTCATTATTATATTACACCAGTTTTTAAAAACTGTCTAGGGAGATCTGACAAATATTGTATATTTTTGCTCCTTTCTGATTCCTCCAGCAGAACTACAATCAAAATGGCAAAATTTTATCCAGTTCTCCAGTGATGTCATTCTGGTCTAGTGCCTCTGGTTGGAGGAAGATTTTCTGTGTACACATCCCTTCATCCTTTGCCAGGAAAGCTGCGGAGACACCTGTGTGAGTCAGCCTTTCTCAAGGAAAAGGAAGTTCTTATGGAGATGCAGTCTTGAGCTCTTGTTTGTTATCTGACATAGGCTTAGTCTACCATCCTCTTCTTCCTTTGCACCAAGGAGAACATACCTTTATACATTATGTTTCTCTTAGAAAGCTATTATCCATCCATTAACCCACTGGGTCAAGTTTCTAACAGGTCCCCTAGGATCTGCACCTCCTCACCAAGGAGAACATACCTTTATACATTATTTTCTCTTAGAAAGCTATTCTCCGTCCATTAACCCACTGGGTTAGGTCCCCTAGGATCTGCACCTCCCCTTAAACATTTTCTGAGGTCATGGCCTGGCTGAGTGGGTGCTACTGCACATCTCTATATAGTTCTTCATTGGTAGGCACACTGGCCAAGAGCCTCCAGTTCAGGGTGATGGTCTGTAGACATCAATCTATCCTCTGCAAGGAAAGCTGCTGGGAAAGTCCCTTGACTCCAGCCTATTACTGACAGGTAAATGAAGCTTGCATTTCCTACAGTACTTTGCCAAATCCCAGTGGTGCCCATGGGGAAGGTTAATTTGAACATTATTATTTATATGAGTATGGCTTCTTGTACCTCCTGAAAGAGACTAAGCTAAGCCCTTTTAGATATACAAATAAAAAGCTTAACCTTCAATGCTCTGTGTTGTATCTGCCCATGGAGGCGAGCTGGCAGTGACCAGGTCCCTGGCAATCTATGCCCGTGTCTTGATTTCAGTCACCCTACCCCTTAAGACAACTTTCATTTCAAAGGTCCACTGTTCCTGATCTGTTAAGAACAAGCAACACCTATGTTTCCAGATGCCTTTGCAGGCACTCACATCACACAAAGGCATAACTTCTTTGCTATAGAAGGGGCAAGGATTTTGGCAGCAGCTTTCCTTGCGGATGCCTCAGGGAGGAGTGCTAGCTGGGCAATAAGAAAGGGGGAACTAGGAAATCTCACAAGGTGAGAAGGGAACAACAATACCAAGAACCTTAAGGTGGCACCTAGGTGAAGAATCCCCGGTAAGAGCATGCAGCTCCATTGCCCCCAAGATTCATGAATGGTGAGAACTGGGTGATGTAGAATTGCCTTGGCAGTAGCTTTCCTTACAGAGGATGCAG